GGCCCGGCAGGGAGGCGGCCCCTGGCCCGGCACGCCTGGAGATGCTCCGGAGGACACAGTCCCTGCCCTTCGGCGGCCCCGGCCCCAACGGGCTGCTCAAGGGGGACGCACGAGAAAACCGGCCCTACGGCACCGACGGGACGGGCAACATCCGGACAGGGCCCTGGAAGAACGAGACCACCGTGTAGCCAGGCGGCCGCACGCCCTGGAGGGACCGCCAGAGCCACCGAGCTTTCCAGTCGCAGTTCTCACCCGCAACTGCCCGCCGTCGTGAAAGACCCCAAGGGGGAAGCGCTTGGCCCGAGCTCAAACGTGGCGGTCCGTGTACAGTCACCCCGTGTTCAGTAGCGTCCAGTCCCCAGGGCAGCCCAGAAACAGGACGGGATTCTGCCCGGGGAGCCACCCTCAGTCCCCAGCTGGTTCCACACACGGAGCTGCCATGTTGCGACGGGCGACAGCGGGAGGCGCCATCCGGGGTGTCCTGGCGCTCGGCGTGTGTGCGTTTTAGGTCTCGTTCCAGAGGCCGCGGCAGCGGGTCTGTCTGCAGCGTTCTCGCCCTGGGCGGTCTCTGCGGGCCTCTGTGCCATCGTCTCTGCCTCAGTCACCCCTGCTTCTTTATTAGGGACCCCCCTCAGCACCTCTGTCTCCGCTTCAGCCTGGCCTGGACGCAGCACCGCCCCGCAGGCCTGAGAACGTGGCGGATGCTGTTGGCACGTGGGAACACGGAAGTGGCCGGTGGGTTCTCAGGGGACCCATTGCGTCTCTCAGGGGCTCCCACCTTTGGAAAACGCACAAACGTTCTTTAGTGGAGACTTGATTTCCAAAGCCAGCCGCTGCAGGACTGCGTTCCTCTCCAGCGTGGGCACTTGGGAACAGTAACATTCTGTTCCAGAAAGAAGAGGGGCTGACGGGGGCCGGACGGTCATCATGGACAAAATCACTTTTCCGTTTTCGCATTTCCATGAATATCTGGCACAAAGCCCTGACTCAAAGGACAGATGTCGATTACAGTGAGCCACTGTGCAAGCCAGTGGCCCGTTTCTGGGGGGTACCCCATGTGTCCAGAGGTGTGTGTGCTTGAGACTGCACACAGCCCATTCCTCCCTCCGTCCCTCCCTCCTGGTCTGTGGCACGTGTGCACACACGAGTACACACACACGTACACAAGTACATGTGCACACATACATGCACACACTGCACAACACACATGCACATGCATACATAACACGATGCACATATGTACACACATGCACACATACAGAAGTAGTGTGTTTTCTAGCTGCCCCGAGCAGCAGGTTTTATTGCAGATGTTTAACTCTGCAGACGTCAGTGTCAGCATCAGCAGCTGCCATCACTGTGACCTGTCAGCGTGCTCTGTCATCTGGGTAGGAGGGGTTCGCCAGGAGCAGATCCTTGCAAACGCATGCCTCAGCGGAGAGGGCTGTGGGGAGTGTTCCCAGCTCCTCCATGGTGGGAGCATTCTGCGCCTCTGTGGTGGGACATGCTCTCCGAAGGGTCGACACTCAGTATCTGAGTACCAGGAGCCTCGCTTCCCAAGATGCTTGTAAACTTGACAATGACGTTGTGACTTACTGCAGCGCACTCCACATACACAAACCCCGTGTGTCCTTACAGGTCAACCGGACAGTAACCAAATGACTGCTGGGCGGTTTCGGTTTCCGTCACCGTCCAGCCTTTTCACCCGCTCCCACAGCTGACGTAAACCAGAAACCCGAGGCGACGCTGTGTACACGCTATAGATGCAGAACCATGCAGACAAAATACAGTGTTTTGCATTGTTCGTCCTTTGTGAGGCTGGTTAATAGCATCCCGTGTGTGTGCGTCTCGCCCTTAGTGGGGGAAGTGGCACCTTGGTGTGTGGCCCCTGCCTCTGAGCCAGAGGGCCTGTGGCAGGACTGGGGAGCCTGGTGAGGCTGCTGTCCCCAGGACCCTCTGGACCCCTCATGTCCTCTCTGCCCTCAATGCCTCCAGCAGAACAGAGAGGGCACCTCATCATTCAACCAAAGACCTTCAGCCTTAAATAGTGCATCTCATTGTGTTTTCATATTGACAGCCTCGTGAGTCTACATGGGACCAGTGTTTGCATGTCATGTTTTGGGGGTATAAAAATTCACAGCGTAGCTATATCGAGGAGCACTTGACATGGAATCAGCTTCCACAGGATTGTGAAATGGGAGATCAGATCCAAATCCTGTTGTTTGTGGTCCAGTTTTTTGTGTCCCTTCCTGTGGGGGGGGGGCAGTAGATGTGGTGTGGGAGTGCATGCGTGACTGTGGGTGTGCTGCGTGTATGCATGTGTGTGTGCGCACATGAGAGTGTGTGTACATTCATGTGAGTGTGTGAGGATGTGATGTGTGCCTGTGTCTATGTGAGTTGTGTGTGCATTGCATGTGTTGTGTGCATGTGAGTATGTGCGTGCACTCTTCAGAGGGACAGCGTGAGGTGCCCCCTCCACCCCGGCCTCTCTGTGCTGGTGTCTAACTTGCCAGGGCAAAGTCCCCACCCGACAGCGATGCTACGATGGGGAAGCCAGAGCTGCTTGTGCCTCCAGCAGCGGCGGGGGACACACCTCTCGCTGCGCCGGGGCTTCCCAGGCCCCTTCCTGCCCCTCCCACCCTCCCGAGTGGCTGCTCAGATTTGGCCCCCAGACCGTCCTACTCTTCTCTGGAGTGGTGCTCACTCAGAAAGCCTCCCCATCCTCCCGAGACCACACAGTGGCGTCTGCCTGCACAGGAGCACGGGAGCTTGCTGGTTAGATTAAGGCACCTCCCAACCCCCTGATTGCTCCAGGAATCCCTCTGGGCTGTCTCTGAATGAGTAACCGCTGCAGGGGTTTGGGCAGTTGAGGAGCCCCTCCCAGTTGTGTGGGGAAGAGGCTGGGTCTAGGCCCCACATTCCACCTGCCTGGCCAGGACTCTGTGAGACGCAGTTGGCTGAGGGGAGCCTGGCCCTGGGAGCCCACCTGCAGAGGAAGGGCCTGAGGGTCCTGTCTGCAGAGAAGGGGCTGTCCCGGTGCTTTTGCCCCAACTCCACGCACACACGGGGCCCAGCTGGTCCTGCCACCTACCCCCGACCCCCACGTGGCCTCCATGTTTCTCAGGAAATGCTGTCAGGGCCAGCGCTGCTCTGAGCCCAGAGCCACAGGCCTGCTTGCTGCCCAAGGTGCAGGGGCCTGCTCTGGCCTGCTTGCGCCCATGCTTCACCTCATCCCACTCTCTCCTCCACCATGTTGCTGGGTTGGCACAAGCCAGAGGCTTCGGTAGAGCCTTTACTACATGACTTATTTCCAAACAGGCACCTTCAAGTGGAAATGCCGCCTGTGGTACAAGATCAAAGACTGTCCTGCAGCCTGTGCACAGGGGTGGGGTGGCCAACCTCCAGCCACGATGGAGGTGGGGGACACCAGACACGAGCCATGGGGGCCAAGCCAGCTGGGGGTAGGGGCAGAGAGGCCAAGGTGGGAGGTCTGGGGGCCAAATCTGAGCAGCTGCTTGAGTGCTCAGCCACTCTGGAGGGCGGTCAGGTCAGAGAGGGGCCTGGGAGGCCCTAGTAGTGTCCCCTGCTGCTGCTGCTGGACACCACAGTTCTTTTCCCAGTGAGTCAGGTCAGGCCACAAGTGGCAGTCAGTGACATTATGACCCGCTGCCCCAAGCCCCACCATACAGGCTTGCGAGGGCCCACAGGAAGGGGTGATGGACGGGGCTGGGGTCCCAATGGCCGACTGCCCAGGCCTCCTGTGAGCTGCAGGGCCAGTGCCCTGAGCACAGACACATGTACCCCAAGAGAGCTCTCCAAGGACACAGAACGCCAGACAGTGGCCCTACCAGGTGGTGATCTGCCTCCACAGAGGTGGCCAGCAGACAAGGGCTCCACACGGCTCTGACCCACAGAGGCCCAGGCAGGCACTGGACATGCCTTTTATCTCCGTCACCGGGGATCTGTGCCCTGGCCAGAGAGTGCTCCTTGTCCACATCCCAGGTGGGTGCCTCTGACTCGGTGTGTCTCCTGCCTAGAGTGAGTGCTCATGTTCGGGACACGGTGGGGCCGTGTGCGTGGTCCGTACGCTAGTGCGTGAGTCCCTGTGGTCTGTGCTGCTACGGACCAAGTGAGGACTCAGGACCCCACTGAGGGGTCAGTGGATGGAAAATTGCTAAGAGGTGACAAAGACCTAACAGGATTCTTGTTGAAGACAGGCAGGGTGAGCAGACCTCACCTGGGGGAGGGCAGGGCTCCTGCTAAGCTCACTCAGTGGGCGCTTGCTGCGACTGGATTCTGCGGGAAGTGCATGGGGTGGGGGCGGGGCCTGGCTCGAGTTTGTGCAAACAGAGAAATTTCATCAGCGCCTGGGGCAGCATGAGAGCCCCTGCTGGTCTTGTCCCCTCACAGCCATGTCCTCCGGGTCTCAGTGGAGCCTGCCGGCCACGCTCATGGTGGGAGCTGGATGACCCCACCCCAGGCTTGCATTCTGGCACCAGGGGTGGGGGGCTCATTTGTCAACTGGGGACAAAGCCAGAGGCAAAGCAAACCTCAGTGGCAGCTGTGAAGGCTGGCCGCAGGTGCCCTGCTCCTGAGGTGCCCTCTGAAGACACAGAAAGGCCACCCAGCCTGAGTGTCCTCAGCTGCTGCACCCTGCAGATTTGGAGCCTCCTGCGCAGAGCCTGCTGCGGGTTCCCCACCTGCCCCTTCTCGCAGGTGAGTCCCCTCTGGCCCCCACTAACAAGAGCAGTGAGGGGCTTAAGTGGCCCTGGTTCCCAGAGCGCCTGAGGTCTGGGAACAGTCCTGGGTGCAGTCTGGGCATCCGCAGCAGGCAGGTGACACAAGCTGAGCACCTGCTGGCCGCTGAGCTCGGGCCCAAGTCTGGACGCCCACCGAGGGAGGGCACAGGTGGGCTCCCCCCGCCCCATGCCCTGGACACCCACGAGTGCACAGAGAGGAGGTCAGGCTCCCGCCACAGCCATGCCCTGGTCCACACCGGCTTCCCATGTGGCTGCAGAAGGGCGATGGCGGGAGGCCATGGTGTCTCGTGGGGACACGCCTCTCCCCACATCAGTTCTTGGTTCTGAAGCGGAGGAAGAAATGACGCAGCCCTGTCCTTCCGGTGCCGACTTCAGATGTATCCGGGTTTAACCTGGTGGAGAACAACTCAGTAAGGCTGAGACTCTCCAGGGACCTCCGCCATTCGTCACAAGACCACGGCATGCCTGGGAGGTTCTCTTCCATGCTTGGAGGAGTCATGAGACTGCAGGAAGTGGAGCGCAGTTCAGGCCTCCCGACCCCCTCGAGGCCTCGCTGGGTGCAGCAGAGGCTGGAACCCGGCGCCCAGGCCTCCTGGGTGAGAGCATGCAGCTGCCTCTCAGCTCCGGGTGCAAGGGCTGCTGGCCGTGGTCACTGGGCTCACTACCGTCTCCGGTCTCCCCGGCACTTCCCCATCACCACCTGTCCCCCCAGCTGGGGGACAGAGAGGGCTGACCTGGGGCTGCAGAGGGCATGAGGAGACACACTTGCGGTGCTGCAGCACAAGGCCTGTCCGGCTGCACACCTTCAGCTACCCGTGGCTTATTATGTCACTTATGCCTCTCATTTAACACGCACCCAGGGAGAAGCAAGGGGACAGTGTGGGGAGGTGAGCCTGGGGAACCACACACCCACGCAGTGCACACGAGGGCCAGAGGGCAGAGACGGGAGGGGCTTGGCCACCCAGGACAGGTGCACCAGGAGCAGCCACAGGCTTTGCTGGCATTTCCTGGGCAGAATCGTTGCCAGTCGGAAGCAGAACCAGGACCCGTGGCTGCTTTGTGTCTCCTGGGCCTCAGGCATGCCCAGAGGTCCTGTCATTGGGGCTTCGGGTGCCACAGCTCTGCACACCTCCATCCCTGTCCATCGCTGTCCACCCTCAGCGCATGTCCAGAGGCAGCGTCCACTGCCCCTGGAGCATCCATGGGACACAGGGCAGTTAGTATAGGGATCAGGGAGAGGGACAGGGAGGCGACGCCACAGAACTGCGAACCTGACCATCTGGACGTCGGCCACTCTTCGTGCTTCCCACCTGGGGGAGCCTGCGGGGCTGGGCGGATGGCCAGCTTTGGTGACTGAGGAGGCTGAGGCCAGCCGCGGCTGGGGCACCTCCAGGGAAATGGCCCATCTGGAGTCAGCCCATGGCCCTCCTGCAAGGAGGGATGAAGTGTCAGAACGTCCACACGCGGAGTGTGGGGACAGGGTCAAGGGCCGCGAGGGTGAGAACCACCGCAGGCCACGGGTTCAGGGAAGGACTCAGACCCCACGGCAGGTGCAGGAGGGCTGAGCCTGAGGAGCCTCACTCCAGCTGCCGGAGAAGGGCCCTGTGGCCAGAGGACCAAGCAAGGCCCAGGCCCCAGCAGGAGTGAGAATGGGAGATGGCACCCTCTCTGTGCCTCTGATCAGCAGGACATGGACACACACAGTCCTGTCAGGCCCATCCCAGGCAGGGCCCAGGAGACCAACAGAGACTGAGCCCTGGAGACATCCCCACCGCTCTGAGGGAGTCTACAGGGCCCAGATGACCCAGGGCCAGGGAGGAGCTCCCTCAGTATTGGGGGATAAATGGTAGGATTGAACTCCCAGTAAAAATCTTAAAAGCAATTCACAAGTCAGGCGTCGAGAAGCGCTGACCACAGGTGGCCGATGGATCTCTGAGAAGACCAGGCTCCATGGCCTGGGTCCCACACAGAAGTGGCCTGCAGTGGCCTGCCACAGCTATGCAAACACCAGAAGGGGCACTGGAAATTCACAGGATGTCCACCA